CTCAAAATTCAAAACAAACAAAAATACGAATTTATTAATATTTAATGCTTATACTCTTCTAAATGATGGAAGCACAGTTTATGCGCTAGTGATGCAAAAACACAATTCCCAAAACAATAAAATCAATTAAATAACAATAGAACAGACACAGAACTTTATCCAGCACTTTCTTGATACTGTAGGTACACAGACAGACAGATCCTTATCAGAGAAACCTGTGACAGTTAATGATACGTAAAAGCTAATTCAATTTCTCCATTTAAAAATGTAAAAGTTAAGATAGTATCATATAAGATATACTGTAAGCATGTAGTTTATTTGGTAGCAAGTTATATTGTGCATACAGCTAATACGGCAAAGCAAAATCAATTGAAATAATACACCATAAAAACTCAATATATATGTTGACACTTCACTCTTGACCAAACCAATACGGTTTTCTATCTAGAAATACGAAATGAATCGTTACATTTATATGCAAAATTATTATTATAGTGTTATTATAAGCTTACGATTGCAGGTGTCACTGACTGGCTGCTTTTCTTTTAGTCAGTAGCTCAAAATCAGAGACAGCTGTACCTAATCCTAGTGGTCTCTGACCTGTCTGTTCAGCCCATGTATCGAATAAGGTACTGTTCAGATTGAAAATACAAAAATATTTTCTAAGCTCAGATGAAGTTCATTTGATAAAAGAAAGGCGATTCAATTATAAATTTTATTTTTTATACCAACGTTTAGGCTTTCCTACTTACCTAAACTTTAATAATGTTTCTTATCCATTTACAAATTGTTTAGGACTTCAGAAATGAAAAATCGGGACATGAGAGGGTATTATATTCATCAAACCCTTCACTAACATCAATCAAAGATTATGACGGCATCCTATGCTTCCATACACTTTTAAAGAGTAGAACTAAGATTATTGTGGTAAAACATTATCTGAATTTTAATAATTGTTTGCTTGTTTGTAAATAAGCAAAAAGCTACACAATGGGCTATCTGTGCTCTGCCCACCACAGGTATCAAAACCCAGTTTCTAGCGTTGTAAGTACGTAGACATACCACTGTGCGTCCGGGGGGCAAAAACAGCAATTGAACATGCTAAATTTTTGCATCGCTCATATGTTTTTTAGGATGGCTTGTTTGTTTGTAATTAAGCACAAAGCTACACAATGGGCTATCTGTGCTCTGCCCACCACAGGTATCGAAACCCGGTTTCTAGTGTTGTAAGCCCGTAGACATACCGCTGTGCCACTGGGGGGGTCAAATTTATTAATAACTGTCGGATTAGCTCTGTTTGATTTATAATGATTTTCAATCTCTTAATGAATAATCGGCTAAATTCATAAAAGAAAAATATTACGATCTTTAATTTCTAAAGCCTAAATCGAGAAAGCCTGTTTTTATATTTATTTGTAATTTGTAAAAACAAATAAATAAATATATGTATATATTTGTTTTTCAATATTGTATTTATTTGTTATTTCATACAGATCCGAAAGTCATCCGAAGGCAACGTCTACTTCTCAACCACTAACTTGGACACAGAAGGGAAATATCGATGTGAGGCTTCTGCAGAAGCTCCATCATTCCAAACAATAATGGGCGAGGAAGAACTGACGGTATTTGGTAAGGATCAAATGCTATTAGGTCCTGTACTTAAAACCACGATATGAATTAGCAACCCAATACATAAAATGATCAGATGTGTGAGTATCTGAGTTGTTCGACCTAATCACTAGAATACACACACACAAAACTATACCAATATACATTATTTTTTGTAAGAATACCATAAAACAAATTTATTACATGTAGTTAAACATGCATAAATTCTATATATAAAACAATTAAGAAAAAAATAAAAACTTGTGACTAAATGTACATTAATATCTCACTGTTAAATGTTTTTCGGCCTTAAACTCAATAAAACTTCAGGAGGCCCAGATTCTTAGCAGATTTGGGTAAGACACTGAATCATGACAGTAAGAATGAACGTAAAATTAGTCGATATGCAATAAATACAATGGATTTTACATATTAATCAATGTAGTTTGTTTGTTGTTAAACACAAAACTACACACTGGGCTATCTGTGCTGTACCCACCGCGGGTATCGAAACCCGGTTTTTAGCGTTATAAGCCTTCAGACTTATCTTACCCCCTAGTCAATGAAGGGCTATAAACACATATAAATATAAGCAAATACAATACACACACCATTCCTATGCTTACGTTAAATACGCTAAGTTTGGATGTATTTCTTCTTTGTAACAATCTTCATCCCAGCTGGTCCCAAACTAAGTATTTTCTGGAAGCCAAGAATTTTTACACCAGGGTGGCCGGCCAAGACGAGTATGTTTGGGAACAAGGATTCGAACTGTCAACCCTCAGATTGCAAGTCAAGCGCCCTAACCATGTATTTCGACTGTATTTCCGGTTACAGAAATATATGGTTTGTTGCTAATGTATTTTTTGGCATAAGAAGCAAATTATAAGAACGGCGAAAACGGTCGTGATTACGTTTACCCTAAACTACAGGTATGTCAAAATAAATCTATAGTATTTGTGTACTGTTATCTTTAAAATTTAAATGCAGGGTTACGAAGTCGGCATAATATTTCTTTTGTAGGCGATGAATATAACACATAAAAGTGGATTATTAATTTTGTTTCCATTCTGAGCTGGATATCAGAAATATATATATATCTGCGTTATTTTTTGCTGAGTTTTCGAGATAGATTAATAAGCAACTATATATGCATGATATTTTATTCCATATATCAGATTATAAACACAATAAAAGTTTCAGAAACTGGATAAATGTCTCTTTCTCTGTTATCTTGGTCAAGCTCGACTAGTTTTATCATTCTGAAGAAGACAAATACAAACATAACTTTGTCATTCTTCTGCTTTAGATCAACTTGTTTTTCTTTACTTTCCTTGTAGATCAAAAGCAATCACAGTTGTATTCAATAGTCGTATTTACTGTTCACGTATCACACATAAGTTCAGTTAAGACTGTTAACCATACTTATCACCTGAAATCACAAGTATGTAACTCTATTATAACATTGAAAAAATGGTCCTTTAAAAAACTGTAATACAAAAATTGATCAGTGGAACTTTTAAGCCTGAATGCGTGCCAAGAAAGTACAATAATAAACTTTTTGTTTCAAATTTAATTTTCTTTATACTTCAAAATATAGAGGAAGAAAACTGTATTTTACAATGTTTCCGATTGTTGTTTTTTTCTTCTAGGAATTACTTTGTTCAGATAATTTCTAGGTTTTTATTGCTGGTTACACAAACTTACTCGCTCATATTCTACAATTGTGTATTATACTTTAATCCATCCTGAAAGATGAACGGATCTGAAAATATTTTACATTATGTTTTAAGAAACTGCTAGTTTGTCTATTCAACGTAAGTTATATCTATGAAGTAGGTTTTGCAAATATGGTGTCACACTTATACATGTACGGACTGAGCTGGCCTAATGATTTGCATGTCGGGCTGCGAATCAGGAGGTCTAAGGTTCGAGCTGCGATATGTCGCTAAACAGTAAAGACATTCGACACATATTTACACCTGTTATGGCGTTTTAACCGTGACCCTCCCCAGCTCTGCTACTCTATAAACAGTAGCCGTGTAGGCGCGAATGGTGCTGACTGGTTGTCCTCCTTCTAATCTGCCCGGCATGGCCACGTGGATAAAGCGCTCGACTCACAATCTGAGGTCGC